ACATTATCAACCAACTTTCACTAAATCCACTGCATATGATTCCTAACCGTCAAATAGACTTGTGAGATTTAATTAATTATTCTTGCACCAATGGTGCATGTGAAGTGGTATTCAAACCATACATTTATTTCTAAATGTACATGTACCTTCAAGCTAGATTTCTAAAGTGAGAATGGGAGTGGCTGGAATATAATTATTGGTTTAATATTGTCATAACATGTGTAGGCCGATATGTAGAAGCATTTGTGTCACAATGCATACAGATACATGGAGAGCCTACATGCCATAGCTACACAAAGGACATGTATTATAGTGGTACTAAAGATACTCATGCTGGGATTTTAAATGCAAGTCCTGTACAGTGCAGTAATTTGTACAAATACCTGTACATATAAATACCACATGTCTAATGCTATAACCTTATGTTCAATTTCCTCACCCCCCCCCTTCCACCCAGAGGGACAGATGCATGTAGAGTCTACATGTACATAAGTACACAATGTATGTACATGTATTGTAGGCCTACATGGCACAAATTGCAGTCATGCTGAGGTAAATGTATAATGCATGTACAGTGCAACAAATTTGTACAAATACCTGTATATTTACCACATGTCTAATGCTCTAACCTTATGTTCTACCCCCCCTCCCTCCTCCCCACCCCGCCGCACCCTTCCCACCTACCCAGAGAGCCAATGCTCAATTAAGCATAGACTTCCTCTCCCATAGCGACCATGTGGCTAGCCATAACAAACACCTGTTGTGCTTTAGGACACATCGTATGACCATATTCGTGGTTGAGTACTACATGTAGGTTCCGTGGTATAATACACACCTTATACAATATACGGTGTGAACATATTTCCGTTCATCTACTATCCAGGCAGTATCATTACTGGGTACAAAACCAAACTTGCAGCAGGGCATGGGGGGGGGGGGGGGGGGTGGTGGTCTTTTTGTCAAAAATGTAATGAACTAAAACTAAGATTTTAGTACACAAATTATTAAATTGAATTCACAGCCCTGCAATAGCTTGGATCAGATTATGAATTATACTTGTTTCGCATTTGGAAATCTTTGTTTTGATAACAATTATGATCACTATCCCATTAAAATTGTGAACATTTGGGTAACAAAATGATCAATACCAATGCAATTGCACAGGAGATGCATTACCTCCCTCTTCCTTAAAACCCGAGCATGTATGGCTGACCATAGCCCAGCTCCCCCCCCCCCCCCCCCTTCTCCAAAAAATTGTTGTATTTTAGGAGAGCATGTTCACACCTACTTGTATATCTATCAAGGGCTTTTCATGGGAACCATGAAGAACAACAAAGAGGGAGGAGGGACAAGACATTGTTTACAATCATTCCTCTTTCCTCCTCCATTTCCCCCTTCTCCACCCCACCCCCTCCCTCCCACCCCCTCCCTCCCTCCCCCTCTCCCTCCTCATGATGTCTCTAAAAGGTCGGAGTTATCCATTTCATTTTAAATAAAAGCAAATCATAAAAATTAAAAACATATATCCCTATTAGAAACTTAGATGTCACCTTTGAAATTTCCCGTATGGGCTTTCTATCCAGTCTCTATACATGATTAATGACTGATAAATGACTGCCCAAGTTAATAAACTTCATGCACAGTAGGGCTTGACACAATTTACAAACCTATTTTCATGTTAAATGTTTTTAGAATCATTTAATAGAAACTAGAACTATAAGGTCATGCTGCATCCCGCACTCCAACCTAACCTTCTCCACTTGGGGGTGCGGGCAAAATAATAAGGATTCATGAGCACCAAGCACATTAAGATTTTTACGATTAGGTGTGCATGTGGATCCGGACACTTCTTTTTAGTATCAAGCTCTACTGCAGACATATAGCTACACCACGAGGGTGTTTCACAAAGATCCTAAGTTGGACTTAACAAATATGGAAAGCCGTTAGCATCTATGAAAATATTTTTTAATAGTTATTGATTCCGATCATTCATATTTTCTATTATCAAGGAGATTTCATGTTCTTGATGCGGAATTTATGAAAAGTCTGAAACACTTGAATTTCTGCTTTTAAATATATTTCATCAATTGGCTACAAATGGTTCTCCATAATATTTAAGTCAGACTTAAAGTTAAGTTTTACTTAGGATCTTTGTGAAACACCACCCAGATGTTTTAGCTGGAGGAGGGGGGGGGGGGTCTAGATTTAATTATAAAAGTTCAAGTCCAGTGGGACATTTCAAACCAACAATTAAATGGGGGGGGGGGGGGGTTGTCCATGTTAACTGAATCCCTGTTAGTGTCGAGCACTGCAACTGTATTGAATGAACAATACAGAGGTTACATTGGGAGGTCATGACCTTCAGAGGGTCAAGTAATATTTGATCACTGTTCAAACATGAAGTATGCCATGCTTTGGATTCTCAGAACAAAACAAAAAACAAATGTTAAGCTAACTAATACTACTGTACAAGTACAAATTTTGACATGAACTGAAATAAATGCAGAACACTTTTAAAGTTATGTATGGTGTAGTTGAAAGAAAGACAATGCCCTGATATAGTATGCCTACATTTTAAATGTCTCGCACTAATAGACAGTGTACTGGATATGCAGCAGTAATAGTATGCACGGATGGACACCCTCGCACCATGGAAATGAGCCCACCATGCTCCCTGCTTCCACTTGATCACAGCCCATATCCATTCACTGAACATTATGCAATCCAATCGTATTTAGATCCTTATCTTTTTCATTCATGTAGCTTCTAGATGGATATGCTTAAATTAAAAGCCTTCCTTCTTGGCCAGGGGGGTGTTTCACAAAACTTGTCATCAGTGACAAATCACAGTTTTTGTTATAAGCTACTGAAAATCCTTGCTTCTGATTGGTTATCAGCAGATTTGTCACTGATTTTTGTCATTTGTCACTGAAAAAAGACTTTGTGAAACGGGTCCCAGGTGTGACTATCAGATTAATTTCTCTGAACAAAGGAAATTATTTGTACTGATTGTAGGTCAGTGGGGGAAATAGATGCGGGAAGAGGGTGATAAACTCCTAAAACAATGGAGGGAGAAAGAGAGAAAGAGAGAGAAAGAAAAAAAGAGAGAGGAGAGAGGGAGAAAGAGAGAGGGAGAAAATGAGAAAGTGAGAGGGAGAGAAGGAGAGGGGAAAAAGAGAGAGTGAGAGAGAGAAGGGGGGGGGGGGGTCGGTGGGGAGGGAGAAGCTTACAAGGTAATGGGACAAAATACAAATAGCCCCTGAAAGTGAGAGAGAGAGAGAGGAGAAAGAGAGAGAGAGAGAGAGAGGGGGGGGGGGGGGGGGGGGGGAGGTTGGCAGGGAGGGAGAAGCTTACAAGGTAATGGGAAGAAATACAAATAGCCCCTCAAATTTGTTCTTACCGAGTTCTAACATAAAAACCATACAACAGCTTACTCAGTCTGGCTTGCAAAAAAACCTTGAAAATGAGACTTATTTCTGCCTTAATCCCAAACCTTAAACCGTAAAGCAGGTAGTTTGGGAGATGAACAGAAATAGCTGATGTGTCATGTTTTTACCAGGCTTGTTTAATATGGAGTTTAATATGCAACAGTTGTGTCTCTCATATTTGATCCTATTAATCTTTTCATTCTTCCCACGTTACAAACACTACATGAAACAATGGGAATAATAAATCCCTCTAGAAAGCTTCTTGATTTAGTTGTTGGGAGTTCTTATGAACATGCTTAGGAGGCAAACTCATTTCACAAACAGGTAGTATGGGGGCGCCCTGAACCAGAATCAAAGAGAGTTCAATTACGAAGGTGTAGCAGTATTGCCAGATACATCTATTGCATAAGATTAGATGCCATATGGACAGTGATGGGGTGTATCATGATGAGAAGAAGATCCAGAGTAATCCAAATCGTCTTTCGAATAGACAGATTCTAAAAATCCCATCTATTGAAATCTGCTGTTTCTTAAAAATAGAAGTTACACAACTAGAAAGCCAATTAAAATTGCAGCAAGGTGTAAAATAGCAATTTTACCCATTACTTGGTTAGGATTCTATTTTATCCCCCCCCCCCCCCCCCCCCCCCCGCCCCCAAAATGCTGCCATTCACCTATGTGTTTAGCTATCAAGAAGAATATTCATAACCTGAAAAAGTTGCAGAATTATTTTCTGTTGGCGAGTATGTGCTCTTGCTGCTTACAGTGAAAGTAGGAAGATTAAATGGGGGGCCGTGCCCCTTTTCCTCAGAAAACTTCAGAATATATTTACATAAAAGGACATGTTTTCCTTGCATTTAAATTCTGAATTTGAGAGAAAAATGCTGCTAAGGTCTTGAGGTAAATGCTAGATGTACAAATAATGATAATCTGAAAGTTGAAGTTTTTTTTTTTTGTAAGCCCGTTTTAAAATATAAAAATAGTCGGCGGAGGAATCTCATCCCTGTGTAACCTAAATTGAATCATGTAAACTGTCTACATAATTCCACATCTCGAGCTGCTTTTCATAAAACTCCAATATTTTTTTAATATTATTACCAACTAGCATCTTTGGCAAACTGATGACTCTTGAGGGAAGAAGAAGAAGAAGAAGAAGAAGATGAAGACATAAATACTACTTGATTGATTTTCACCCCCAGACGTACTTTTCATAATTTTATGCCCAGAGAATGTATGGTAAATGTCAAAACTAATAAGTTTTGGTAATATTTCAAAGGATGAGAGCATTTAAAGGCCGCCTGTCCTAGTTCAGCCAGAAGGGATTAGACCATACAGCGAGGTCACTGGCAGGTGACTATCTCATTAACTCAGCTCTCAATTAACATAAGAAAAAGAGGATCATGGGGGACCAACAGGCACTGATTGGGGAAGTTTTCTATTTAGAGGGAGCAAGTAGCTACAAGTAGTACATTGTGGCTTTAAGGTGTTGAGGTATCAGGTGGATGTGTTTGAATAGATTGATTTGGTAGGGGGAGATCTGTTACGCCTTGGGTTTATCATCTGAAAACTTACCCATCGCCATGTTGCCCCGGAAGGACAGTGTTCTCCTTGATGCCATAGAGAGCAGCCTCAGCTTGGTCCAGGGCGGAGCTAACGGATGATGTTAGCCTCCCGAGGATCTCTGGGTCATATGCCTCGATCTTCCCATCAAAGGGCCCTCCAAGCTTATCGATACCTGTGAAGGGGAAGGAGAGGGGAGGGAGCAACCAAAATATACAAACATGAACTAGTTGATTCGCCGCAGTAAGGAGACTTCATGTGTTATACATGTATGTATCAGCTTTTATGTAGTGTAAAATTAGGATTTAAACTGTTCTCAATCGTTCATTTGATTTTGATCAACGGACAATAACAGGAGATGATCAGGATCAAGACTTTTAATGGATCTTGATCGACTACAATTTGAGGTGCAGGTGTAGACTGTAATGGAATCAGAAATATTAGGTAATTTTTTAACCCCTCCCCCCCCCCCCCCCCCCAATTCATTTAATTTTGTATAAAATTTAATTTGGCATACGTTAATAGGTTTGGGACCTCAAAAGTATATCTCATTCATTCATGCATATATATTTGAACAAATTGATTTGGTGTTGATAAAACTCTCCACCAATGATGAATAGAATTTTGCTCTCAGTGACATAAACTTGAATGATTGCTGGCTTTTTGGTTTGAGCTAAATATATCAGTTGCAAACATGACTCTCTGGAACAAAAAGTAACTTTGCAAAGAAATATTAAATATTTTAATGGAATGCATAGGACACATGGACATAGGGGAACCTTGAAAGGAGTGCGAAGTGGCCTTTGGAAGGAACTCACCTGCTGCATCCAGAAATGCCTCCAAGGTATCAGGGTCTACAGCCCTCAGGTCTGGGTGTCCCTGGCTGTCCAACCGCAGGAGCTTGTTGGCTATCTCGATGGTAGGTCCGCTCTCCAGCTCCTCCTGATCCAAGATGAAAGATTCAACCTGAGACATTGGCATACATGCAGGATAGGTATATTCTTTTTTAGCAAAATCTACTGAAGGCCAGACAATGACATTTTGGCATAGATGCATGTACATGTAGTAAACATACTGAAAGTATTCTCACTGTATCTAATCCAAGATGAAAGATTCAACCTGAGACATTGGCATACATGCAGGATAGGTTTGTTTTTTTCTCTTTTAGCAAAATCAACTGAAGTGAAGGCCAGACAATAAATGTAGCATTGTGGCACAGATATTAAACAAACTGAGAGCATTCTCGCTGTGTATCTAATCGAAGATGAAAGATTTAAACCAGGGAAATTGGCTGACGTGCACATGTACGCAAGATGAATGATTGAATTTTAGCTAATCTAAAATTTGTACACTTCAATATTGTAATGATTTCGTCCTCTCATAAGCTATCACTCATCCCATTTTCTTCTTTAATTTCATTTTGTTTTCTTTGTCTTTTCTTTAAACAAAAATTAGAAAAAATTGTTATTTTCCCCTTTAAAAAATTTATACTTGCCATCATTCTAATTATGAATGTGTTTACTTGTCTGAGTAACAAATGGTGCTATTTTAGACCAATAAAAAACACCCATTATTCCTGTCAATGTGAGATATTAAGAGACTCTGATGGCATGCATGCCAAGCAACAGAAAGTTTGTCTGTGTGTGCATTTAAAAAAGACTTGTTGGAATTTAGTTCCCGGAACATGCCAAAATTGTGGACGTCTAAAACTTCTACACATTGGAGAATAAATGTAAATTGGTGCTTAGAAATCTAGATCTGTCTTCTTTGGGTTTACTACTATAATTTCATGGACATTAACACAGGGTTCATCTTGTGTTAAGTCTTTTAGAAGATGCATGATTGAATTTGAAACCTAATGGTGATAATTTTGATGGTAACATGGTCATATTATTAGCTGGTTAGCCCTAAGTAGGAACTCCAAAAGAAACATTTACACATTATTGAAAGTGTGGACCCAGTTACCACTGTCAAAATTGTCTCAATTCTGAAAGACAAAACTCAAAATTTTAATTGATCACAAATTTACAGTAACCAGTCTTTTTACAAAGTTTTCACTAATCAAGGTCAATTTCAATCTATCAATCCAACTCTTCAAATAACACAGCAGACACAGAGAACAGAAAAAGGAGTCATGGTCCATGCGCATTCATCTCGACAAAGTCAAACTCAAACTCAAAGGACAAGCCAAGGTCAAGCCCAAACCAAATTAAGGCAAGTTCAAGAGTCAGAGAGTAGGTTGGCGCTTTCCTTTATTTCTGGTTTAGCCTTCACATTGACAAGACAGAGAACTGGTTTTAGTCTATCTCCTTTCAAATCTTTGAGATAGGCCTAGGATCTACTGTTCTTTTCTTAATTTTCAATTTTATTTATGTTCCTGGAGTTAAATTTTAAAAAAATCTTCACAAGTCACAAGTTCACAACATCTGAAGTTCTGTTAGTTTTTGTTTTAAGGATTTAAATTAAGGTATGTCTTCCTAAAAGAGATCTTAATGTTAAGGCAATATTCTCAAAAGATTCCGGAATAAGGCATGCAAAATTGCAAACACGTCTTCTCATTTTTCTCAAAAGCGATCGAATGAATGAATGGGCGCCATGCATTCCATGATTCATTAATTTCCACACAGACCAGCCACACACTCGTTCGTGCAACAAATCGGGGAGGGTGCGCGCGATCGTTTCGTTTGCATGCCATATTTCCTCCAGTAACTATGATAAAAAGATATATAATAGAAATACATCATATCCTCGATATCCATTATTTTTCTCGGACTCACCTCGGATACTTCACCCTCCTCGCTTCCTGATAATTCGGCCATTAAATCTTGTTGAAGAGAGGCAAGCAGTTGAGCCTTTTCTATTGCAGAGTTTGCATTTGCGTGTGTGTTTGGCACGTTAACCTTACTCACAGTTTTACTCTCTTTACGCGAGCCTGTCGCTTTCTTCTGTCCACCATTCTGCATTTTCTGATCGTTTGACCGTCCTTCTTTCTTACATGTAAAACATAAACGTGATTTGTCGTATTTTCTACTGCTATTTCAAAATTTAGTCGGGCACTTATTGACCCACACGTCGCCCGCCTGTACAGTAGTCGGCCATTTTACATGTAAGGTACCCGGATGTTGTTTAATATTTTGTGCAGATATCTCCGACGTGCACAGAGTACACTGTAATGAATGAAAGGGTGGCCGATGTGTGTGGTTGTTGGGCATGTTCTACGGCACTAGCGATGTGCATGTGTTGCTCGTCGAAATATCGAGTCACTTGGAAATCATAATTAAACTTCTTGGCCACTCTCATTTACTTGAAATTATCAATCATAGTCTATTATGATCACAAATTCCTTTGGAAAAAGAAAGAAGAAAAAAAAAGTAAAACAAATAGCCACCAGTGAGATTTGAACTCACGACCCCTGGTTTACAAGACCAGTGCTCTAACCACTGAGCTATAGCGGCGTTCGCTGGCGGAGGGGAGAAATTAAGGTATAAATATGTTAAAAGAAAAGTTCACGTGGACTTGTCAATTTTGCTGGTACATTTCCCTGCATGTGTAAGGCTACTGAGAAGTGGAGGTGAGGGGACTGGGGGATAGGGTTGGGGGGGGGGGGGGGGGGGGAGGGGGGAGGTGAAGGAGACGAAGAATCCCCATGGGCCATGGCCATGCACCTTCAGAAATGTAATGATAATTTCAACAGCCTCCTCACTTTGTGTTTAATTGTAACGTTCGCCTATATACATTATACTGTACACGTACGTGAACATAATTATGCAGTATAATTTATCTCCCTTCTCTCTCTCTCTCTCTCTCTCTCTCTCTCTCTGTTTATCCTTTTCCCTTCTGTTCTATGTTTCCCCCTCTCGAATTTATTTCCTAGATAATTGCCATTTTAACAGGGAATGATAATGATGTTGCTAGTGCCATGGCCCATAAAGTTAAATGCCTTGTTTTGGGGAAAAGATTGGGCCTATACAGCAAACTGGTTCCCTCAGTGCATTATTGTCACTTTTCTTCCATTTTCATCGTCCACTCATTTTAGTAATAATGATATTAACAACAACAACAATAACAACAACAATGATAATGAGGATAATGAGGGTAGTGAGAACTAATATTTGTTGGCCCTCGAAAATTTGAAAAATCGCACCCCCCCCCCCCTTGAGCGCCAGAGGGGGGGGGGGGCATCTAAAAAAAAAAGGTAAAATTTAGCGGGCTTTTTTACACGTTTTTTTCCCCAAGGGGGGGTGGGGGTGGGCCCCCTCGATCCGCCACTGAACAGGGACATTAATAAGGGACTCCTGGGGGCACATGTAGCCAACGGGAGGAGCATTTTGAACGCAGGCATATCAAATGTTATCACAGAAACGGCAAGCGTGTTTTTTTTGGGGGGGAGGGGGGCGGAGGGGCTTATGAGCACCCATTCTTCGTTTTGCCGCCCCGGGAAGAACTTGTAATGACCAGAAGTAAGATCGGAAGACTATAGAAATCGGAATGTGAAATGAAGCATATGAAATTATTCAGATAACCAGGCCAGGTCTACAGTTTGAAAAGAAAAGAAAAAACAGTTAAGTACCCTAATAAAAAATTCTGATGACGATGAAAACAGAAAAAAATATTAGCATTCAATTAGTAGCACTATATTGGTAGAGATATATTGCCTATATAGACCCGTTTTGAAAGGTTCGAATTTCAGAAGAGAACACAATCATAACAAAGACCGTAGAAAGAATCGAGAATTCGAGAGGAGGATACATTCAAGATTCAAGATTCAAGATTCAAGATTATTTATTGTCTGATTTTTAAAAAATACAGAAATTCGTCCTCCACTGGCGAGTGACGTACATATACAAACAACATAAACAATATATAAATACATTCAAGGATACAAAGAAAATACAACAATAATAATGATAACAATAATAGTAATAGCAATAATAGCATTACAAAACTGACATGTAAACTTGAAAACTGGCATTTAAAAATGAATCTCGATAATGCACAGCGAATTGAATAAATGAATTTAAGTGCTTTGAAACATTCACCCCTTCTCTCCCAGAAAAGGGGTATGAGGAGAGAGAGAAAAGAACAAATGAGAGAGAGAGAGAGAGAGAGAGAGAGAGAGAGGAGTCGAATGGAGTAGAACAGAAAGGAAATGTGAGGGAGAAAGAGAAGGAGGAAGAAAAGAGAAGGTGACAGAAAACGAGGAGCTCTGGGAGGGAAGAGATGAGGTAGAGGTAAGAGTACAGGATATCAAGAACAATGACTGCCCGTGGTAAAAAAAGACAAATGAGTCGTCAACATTCGAAATTTGAAATTCAGAGCCGCAAGCTAGAGATAGACCCTGTGCAGTAGAAAGTTAGAACACCCGACACCAGAGTTCCGCTATCAGGGACCCCGATGCATCACCCTCTCCCAATGAGTTGACTCCCAATTATGGCGAATGACGTTTCAACGTCGTTAGATCATGTATTAATTTCTCTCCTTAATCAAACCCTAAACCATGTACACTGTTGCTCATAAAGTTGGAATAGTTCTTTTTTTTTACCCCAATGTATGGAATTATTTTGTGAATGATTTATTCCTAATACTGACTCATAGATCTAGATAATAGTATACATTCTCAGATTTTATTGAATAATAATCTACCAGAGTTTGTTTTGCGTGACTGCTAAAGCATGTGTATGTTAATATGCTTATTAACTAGGGGACCTACGCCCTTAAGTCATAAATGACAGTAATGAGGATTAATGCCCCACAAAAGGGCACTAATATAGCACATCGACACAGTTTTTATCCTGGGGTCTCACAGTTACGGGGCCATATGCTTTGCCACTGAACACGACTGTACCCAGCGGGGGCTAGGGTAGGGGGCAGTTCCCACAAATAGAAAAAAAGAAAGAAAATGCAATAAATTATCACTAATTCATTGCACTTTACCCCGATCCCCAACATAAAAAAATCCTCTGTACGGCCATGCATTATGGCTCAAGGCACGGGCATACAGAACATTTTTTTCTGTTGGGGATCGAGGGGGGGGGTCCAAAAGGCCCTTGCCCCCCTCCGCCCCCGCCAAAAAAAAAAGAGAGAAGGAAGTGAAATTAGAGAAAGAGGAGAGCTAAAACTAAAAGGGAATACAAAAGACAAAGAAGAAAAGAAGCTAGGGTAGGGGGCAGTTTCCACAAATAGAAAAAAACAAAGAAAATGCAATAAATTATCAATAATTCATTGCACTTTACCCGATCCCCAACATAAAAAATCCTCTGTACGGCCATGCATTATGGCTCAAGGCACGGGCATACAGAACATTTTTTTCTGTTGGGGATCGAGGGGGGGGGGGGTCCAAAAGGCCCTTGCCCCCCTCCGCCCCCGCCAAAAAAAAAAGAGAGAAGGAAGGGAAATTAGAGAAAGAGGAGAGCTTAAACTAAAAGGGAATACAAAAGACGAAGAAGAAAAGAAGCTAGGGTAGGGGGCAGTTCCCACAAATAGAAAAAAAGAAAGAAAATGCAATAAATTATCAATAATTCATTGCACTTTACCCCGATCCCCAACATAAAAAATCCTCTGTACGGCCATGCATTATGGCTCAAGGCACGGACATACAGAACATTTTTTTCTGTTGGGGATCGAGGGGGTCCAAAAGGCCCTTGTCCCCCTCCGCCCCCGCCAAAAAAAAAGAGAGAAGGAAGGGAAATTAGAGAAAGAGGAGAGCTAAAACTAAAAGGGAATACAAAAGACGAAGAAGAAAAGAAAAAGAAGGGGGTTGTGGATCGAGGAGGGGTCCAAAAGGCCTATGCCCCCCCCCCCCCTGCCTAAAAAACTAGAGAACAGAGGAGAGCTAAAACTAAAAGGGAACAAAAAAGAGGAAGAAGAACAGAAAAGGGTGAAAAGGAGGAGATCAGTTGCGATATATCCCGCCAACAACGCGTGGATGGGGGGGGGGGGGCCGAAAGGCCCTTGCCCCCCCCCCCCCCCCCAGCAAACCAAAAGAGAGAGAAGGAAGAGAAAGGACAGGGAGAGAGGAGAGAAAGGGAGGAAAAGAGAAAGAAGAAAGGTATGGGAGAATCAGTTGCGATATTTTCCGCCAACAAGGTGTAGGTCGGAGGGGGCCCCACTGGCGTACTGATGGGGGGGGGGGGGGGGGGGGGGGCTGGGGGGGCAGTTGCCCCCCAAATAAAATTCAAACGTATTTTATTTCTAATTCGATACCTTTCATTTACAAATGTTGCTGAATTGACATAATATTCCGAGATTTTTCCTCACTTTTTAGTAAATTATACTTTGTATGCGTTTGTTGGAAAATGACAGATTCCTAAATTTACAGTCAGGCAAGAAATGTGCTTATTTAAAGGCCTAGATATCAGTGCCCGTGCTCATCTGACAGTGATGCCTAAAACCCCTGAGCTTCCGGGGGCTCTGCCCCCTTGACCCATGCCAATTAGTGTCCTGCCAGTGTCACAAATAAGGTATCAAAAAATGCTCATCTGACCGTAATTGAATGCCCATGCCCCCTGAAATTCCAGGGGCTCCGCCCCTTGACCCCCGCCAGGTCTTTGCCCCTAGACCCCACGCCAATTTACGCTACGCTCTACCTTATCGTAAATACTTGAGCCTCCCCCACCTACTTTGAAAAATGTTCAGCGGGGCCTGCATGTAAGAGTGGGGATACTCGGATCGTTTTGTCTGCCCCCAAACGATTTTGCTCATTACCCCACTGCTGGTCATTATTACGTACCAATATTTGGCTCGCATACATTCAAATTTTGGCCCCCCCCCCCTAAGAAATTCTGGATCCGCGCCTGACTTTATCTACATTTACAATAAAGGCACTGATAAAGGCACCACCAGATACAATAGATTGTAGCTGCAGGTGGACAAATAACGAAAGAAAGATAGCAAAAATGAAGGAAAAAAAAGGGGGGGGGGATTGAACATGAAAACACTGTGATAAACAAGTGGCCTATATAATTCGTCTTTTCATATACATAGCAAAACCAGTGACCCCCTCCCGCATGGTGCCAGTGCCACCGTTTTCTTTTTAGAAATTGCGATTTCTTATACCAATTTCCCCAATCAAACATGTATAGTATATTGGCGTTGAGGGCCGTGATGTTTTCATTGCATAGATTGTGCGCATGCGTTGTACGCAATATCTTATGGTTTCAAAATGGCGAGAGACCGACTGCTTTGTTACTGAAACTTTGGAGTTGTTTGTAAAACTAGAGCTCATAGAAAACCACGAAATTACGTCATCTGTTCGAAGAAATTGCACCAGGTAACAGTATGTACGTTTTTGTGGTGAAAGATGTGAGAGATGATTTGTAACTGTACTTTCTTAATGAAAAAGTCGGCACTTTTCCCCCACAATATTTTGAGTGTGTGTAGGACTACGGCGCCGCTAGCCGCTCCAGCACTCCACAATTCACTGCACTGCACTCAATTTAGTAAATTTGCTGACGGCAATGTCGGATCGGTCGGCGTCGGGCACTTCTCAAGTTCTCGAACTCGCAAATTTGTGATGTCTGCACATCTTATATTTGACTTGAAAAGGAAACAAGAATGTGTTTCATGCAATGTATTATTCCTCTATCTAGTGGCGCCGCGCGCTCTGCCTCTGGTCTGAGAATGAGGATCATCCGCATAAACAACGATATCCTTGCAAACGCGGACAAATGGCGTCCTAAAAAATAAGGATCGTTTGCATTTTTGAGGACTTTTCATTTTCTTTGGTACTCTGCGGGTGAAGGGTTCCCAATCCGCTTGCAGGCAATGCGAAAAAACGGATTCCGCCTAACAAAATACCCCCACATTTACGGGTTTGTCTTCCCGAGGAGTCTTTGTGCTAGTGCTACATCAATGAGAAATGCATCATCGTGGATCTGTTTTTTGCATTGTTTTGCAGATCGTTAATAAGGATTGTCCATGAAAATGTGGACGATTCATATATGTTAGGGACGCAATTTGTCCGCATTTACGAGGATATCCTCGTTTATGCAGAGAGTCATTATTCTCGGACCAATGCCCCCACTGATTGTTGCTTTATCCCATGGCTTAACATTGAATAATTCATAGTTAACTGAGTTATGATTTGATTTTTACATCGGTCAGCATCAATCAACAACAATAACATTAAATTAACAATAAATGAATAGGCCTAACATATTTTTGGTCAAGTTGAGTTCACTGCACAGTGTAATAGCAATTTAATTTGTTTGGCTTTTGCATTTGCAGCCCTTCTACTCACAATTTTGATGACATTTACTCTCGAAATGAAGATTTCTAGACCCTTGTCGGTAAGAAGAAGAAGAAAGGACTCAAGGAGAGAGAGAAAGAAAGAAGAGAGAGAGAGAGGGGGGGGGGGGGGAGGGAGATGAGGAGGAAGGAGGGGGTGCACTGTTTATGAGACATTCTCCCATTTAACATATTTATTTGTTCTGAATACATTTTATTTACAGTCAATGCTGTAAAGGGATTACCTCAGCTAAACATAAAAATTTGATTTATGAGCAGATTTGTCATGAATCATGATTTTAACAAATATATTTGTCCATCTAAAACTTATCTGTATAACATTCCTGTGTTGTGATCCACAAACAAAACAAATGGCCTTCTAACCTCAAAGCTAACGGCAAGTTCTGTTCTTTTGTAAGATAACTCTGCAATATATGACACTTTCTCTAGTCTAAGTCTAGTCCCAAATTGGGAGTGACACAAACCCATAATAAAAGCAGCAAACGAAGGAGTAGAAGAGGAGGAGCACTGTTTGGGAGACAGTCTCCCATTTAGAATTTTAATGGGTGTCGTTTCTGTTCTTTTGTAAGCTACAGTAAGTCTGCAATAGATGACACCATCTCTCAAGTTGGAGAAAGTCTCCAAACTGGGAGTGACCAGACCCATAACAGAACATCAACAATAACAGTTCAAATGCCAAAACACACAAATTCAATCACTACGCACAGAGAAATTGTTACTTACCACACACTGCTGAAACACACACATGTCAAATCATTACAGTTACACATAGAGAGAAACCGTTACTGTCTTAGTTTTATCATATCTAGATGGTCAGCCATGACCTTAGAAGAACTACATGTACATTTGAACTCCATGCATATGAACAGTTGAATTTTACCATTAAAAATGCAGAATCAGACAGTGTACATCCAAATAATGTGGTGCTTCAACGATCTAGAGTATCTGGAAAAATTGTGGTACAGTACTGTAAGAGTGCTCATTGGAGTTTTAAGGGTTCTAAGAACATTTTAATCTGTAGAGAAGCAGGAGGGGGAGGGGATTCCTGTGAATATTTTTGGGGATCTGTGTGGATTGGAGTCGGAACCCTTCTAATGTCACCCTATTGTTCACAGGAGCTTTACAAAAAAGTATCACATGCATACTGTACATGAACATGTAGAGGAATTGAGGTTTCGTTTGTGATGTTGGTTTATATACTTTGATTTATTATTATTTTGTCAAAAACTTGCTTAACCATTACCTTTCTCTCCTGAATTCCCCAGATTGTTTCTGCTCGTACCTGTCACCGGATTCATGCAATACCTGACAAGCACATAAGCTAAACTGGTGTTTATTCCCAACTGGTGAACAATACTATGCCTCGTTACGGGGCGAAAACTTACGGGCGAACTGTCCGTAAAGACGACAATGACCATTTTGATGATTTATGGAACAAGAGTAAAGACAGCACTCGACCTGTGACTCGGCACTCCCCTGCTAAACGGCCAGCTAACAACCAAGTGCAAACCACTTCCCGACAAACTAGATCGTCCCCATCCAAGCCTTTAAGAATGGCTAGCTCTGAGAGTTCCAGGCCGACGCGACAGAACACTGTATTGAAAGAGGATGTGGTGGGTGTAACAAGTCCAAAGAGGAGGAGAAGAGCGAGCAGCACGGATGATCCCTTCAGCTTTAGCAGTGATGATGATAAATCACCCGTTAAAAGGGCCACCACTGACCAGAACAACGCTAGTGATTCCAATAACTCCAACTCTCGACAGACGAGAGCATCACTACAGTTCGACAATGGTGTTGAATCCAGGAATAGTTCCAGAGCAGCACCTAGGGCTGCCAATACGACCAGGAGCAGTGCAAAGGAAAAATCTCCAGGTAACCAAACCTTGATCACGCAATTTGCCAAGAATTCAAGAAATAATGACTCATCGAGTGAGAAAAGGGACAACACCGACGTAGAAATGATTAGTTTGGACGACAGTTTGGGTAGCCCGAATGGATCAGATTTCTCCAGTTCGCAAACTAGTGTAGTGTCTTTGTCATCAGGCAGTCAGCGTTCGAGTGGTTCGTCAGCGGTGAATGCCCGCCAGGGTAGGAGGACGGCTGGCAAACTTAAGACTGTTGCTGAGACCACAAGCACAGATGGTTCCTCTTCTCAGCTATCATCAGGTAGTGCCTCCTCGCTGAGAGGTAAGACAAGAGCAACGAACAGTGCTAGCCAATCGTCTAAGAAAAACCTAAGAACTAATCCCTCAGGCTCTAGTCAGGACTCTGCAATGAAGAGTGATGATGATTCTGATGACTCGGAAGTCATTATTTCAAGTACTAGTAGGAGTAGCAGCTCCCAGGGAAGTAGTAGTCAGTCTTTGAGTCAGTCATCTGGAACGTCAAAGTCGTCAACGTCCAAACCTAGTCTGAAGACCTCTAAATCGTTACCACCAGCCAAGCCTTCGTCCTCAACAGCTTACGATGAATTTGATTTCTCGGAAGACGATGAGGAGATAGAGGCTCCTCCTGCACTGTTAAAGGCGAAGTCCGCAGGTGCTTTGGACAATGTCAAGAAGATCTTCAACAGTCCAAAGAAGGTATGCAAACATATTTGTGAAGACTTGCTTTAAAGCCCCACTGCACAATATCTAATCGGTGACCATTGCTTCCTCCATGGTCCCCTTTTTCTTATGTTAATTGAGAGCTGATTTGATGAGATAACCAACTGGCAGTGACCTCGCAGGGTGGTCTAATCCTCCTAGCCAAACTACAGTAGTACAGACGGGTTTTAAATGATGTGACTTTGATTGTCCAAAAACAAAAAACAATGATGCAAGAAAACAACATGCTCAAGGAATGCATTTTTCGAGAAGAATGTTGGCACTTGCTATCCCAGACAGCTTGTTGCTAAATTGTCTGAAAGGTCTAATCATCACTAGTCAAAATGAAATATTATCTTTTTTTATCTTGAACTCTGAAATACCTTGAACTCATTTAGCTGAAATTAAAAGAGAGTTTGTGTTTAAAACACAAGACATCAATTATTAAGGAAAAGTTGACATGTCATGGTTGACTCATCTTTACAAAGGTAACCAATTAAGGTAAAAATCCCCAGGCGATTTAAAGAATTTAAAGAGAGCTTTGGAAACTCTTCAAATGCTCTTGTAAAGCAGGATGAAGCTTGAAAAAAAAAGATCTTGATTTATATAAATTCATGTCAGCCCCATATTGATGTAATTAAAGTCTTCACTATATTTTCTTGATACAGTCCCCTGCCAAGGCAAAGTACAATGCAAGATCATGGAACAAACCTGATGTACCAGAAGAGGTAAGTCCACTGGCTTAGAATCGCTGCTTGGCATAATTTTCAAACAGTCCGATGGGAATTGAGTGTACAAACAGACGTATAAACTTGGTTCAACAAGAGTGATCTACTGTAAAAGCAGAAACTTTTGTGAGCATGAAATATTCACCAAGTTAGTCAGTGAAAGGATACAGCATAATTTTCTTTGCAGTTTGTTAAATTTTGTGCCATGATATTAGCTTTTGTTTAATTGTGAAAGTTTCATGTCGCCATAGTTACTGGTTTTACAGTAATGTCTGCTGAGTTGATATTGATATGTGCGTGTGTAGTAATTATGTGAAAAAAAGTGTTATAGTCATCCATATTCCATTTCAGCTGTCTAACAATTTTTGATGCACATCTCTTGCAGTTATTAAACTGTTTGTTGATATTTTGGAGTAGGAGTCTTGCTCTGCTCTGAAAGTTTCAAATCGTGAAAGGATCGCATCATGTGCACCATACCATGATCATCAGTTAACTGCCATCTCATGTATTTCCACTGTAATTTGTACATTCCATAATTTGTAAAAGAGTTCATTAGCTGTGATTGAGTTTGTGAGTCAGTTATGTTTTTTCATTCTTGACTGAGAGGTGATACTATGTATGCCATACTGGTGATTGATGGCTGTTTTACAAATCCAAACATATTTTGAATTGTTCGTTCAATGTGAGAGTGACGTAAAAGAAATATGAAGGCTAACGAACGACGCGCGTGCGCGCTCCCTATTGATTTTGTACATGTACATGCTGCCGAAAACTGCCTCGCTATAGCTGAAAACTACCTTCAAAACAGCAAAAATGAAATGAATATCGCCATGGCAATTCATGATTTAAAAAAAAAAATAATTCTATTGGTTTCATGATTTGAACAAAAAATGAAAAATAAATAGGAGGTAAAGAGTCCAAATGAAGAAAAAAAAAAAAGAAGAAAAAAAAAGATCCCCCGCCCTACTCCAGAAAAGCAATCGAGGACATCCAAATTATTAAAAAAAAAGGCCTAATAGCAAAGTTACGTACATGTACCATCAATTTGAATTTATATGCAATGGGGACAAGGGCCCCCTTCCAAAAAAGATAATGTGAAGTCCTACTTTAAAGGGACTATGTCCCATTTGCAGGCCCAAAAAATGAAAAAGTTAAATTCCAACTGCATTTGAAAGATAATACTAATTTAGAACTTCCCTAAAAAAGGTGGGGCTTGAAAATGTCTTCAAGTGGGAAAATAACGACTTTTAGTTGTCAAATCGACTTTAGGGCTATAGAGCCCAAAAGTAATAGTCTTGATTTTCAGACAATTGTACCGAATGGTCATACGTTTTATGCTGCGCAAAGATTCAATCAGTTAATCTTGGCCATCACAAGAAGTGGGTTATTGATGTAGACAAATCCTCATGTACCCTTTACAACTCTTTTCATGTATGTTATTACCAAAGAAGAAAAAAAGCCAGTTAGCAACATCATTATCATTCCCTGATAAATGTACTATGTCCCTTTTGCAGCCAACCTCAAATGCTGTAGAACTTTGCAGGAATTATGAATATGTCATGTATGTCCTATCTGTGAAATTTAAACGTTAGCAGTGTCCTCATATTCAAATTATGCAAGGAAACCCGTTTACTTGCTAGACTTCACTGTCAGACACTATTGAGTGACTGACTGGCTTTTTTCCTTCTTTGGTAATAACATACATGAAAAGAGTTGTAAAGGATACATGAGCATTTGTCTACATCAATAACCCACTTCTTGTGATGGCCAAGATTAAACTGATTGAATCTTTGCGCAGCATAAGACGTATGACTTTTCGGTACAATTGTCTGAAAATCAAGACTATTACTTTTGGGCTCTATAGCCCTAAAGTCGATTTGACAACTACAGTGTAATAGTCGTTATTTTCCCACTTGAAGACATTTTCAAGCCCCACCTTTTTTAGGGAAGTTCTAAATTAGTATTATCTTTCAAATGCAGTTGGAATTTAACTTTTTCTTTTTTTTTGGCCTGCAAGTGGGACATAGTACCTTTAAGGCAAAGTCTTACAAATAAATTTATTTGTTGCACATCGTTATACTGTACAAAAGACTGTCTAGACAGGTTTAGTACTGGCAGAAGGAAATTGGCCATGCAGATGATAAAATGATGGAATAAAACTTAGACATACCGGTACATGTACCTTCAAGTTCATGTACATGTACATGTACTGTTTTCTCAGAGGACACGTTAAATCTTTTCTTTATTACAATTAGTGCTGTAACATCACGGATATCTCCAATTCCGTTTAACCGCCTGTCAAAACCGGACGGTTTTCGGTTAAACGATTTATTTAAAAAAATAAATAAATAAATAAAAAAATAAAAAAAAATAAAAAAAAAAAAAAAAAAAAAAAATCGTTTTTTTTTTTTTTTTTTTTTTTTTTTTTGGCCGTGTGAAAAAGCGGGAAGGTGATTTAACTGAAGGCGCCGATTTGTGCTTGTGAACTAGTCACAAATAATAGTAACAATGTCGTTTTAGAATAATGTGTAAGATCATTAAAGTAAATTAAAAACAGTAGAGGACCTAGGATAGAACCTTGTGGTACACCATGTGTTAAACTTGGATGAATATATATTGAGATCTATTACAAAGATTACTTTCAAACCAAGATGACAGACAAATTGGAGTGTTGTTCTAGTTTCCAAGTGGTAAGTCATCATACCGATTACTGAGCTGGGAGACATTGCCAGGCATAGTGCCAGGTGGAGGGGCATAAATCGAAACTTTAAAAAAAAATAAAAAATTTAAAAAAAAATAAATAAAAAATAAAAAAATTATTGAAAAAAAAAAAAAAAAAAAAAAAAAAACGGGAAAACGAAACCGTCCAATTGAAAACGGAATCCGCCATGGGCGGTCGGATACCGGACGGTTAAACGTTTGACTACAGCACTAATTACAATTGGGTTGCTTGGAATTGCACCTCTTTTTTAGTGCATGTAAATATAATAAAACACTTGTGTAGCAAGAAGTGTAGCAAGAAGGTCAATGATTCGTGTGAATATGACAGATAAAACAAGCATCCGATAAAATTAGATAACAAATAAGTGCATGAGTGAAATTCTGCATGGTAAGATATATTGTTGTATGAATGTTAAGTGCTTGAAAATCAAAGGCAACTGTCAAAACCTTGGGAATTATATTATGATGTATACATAATTACTCTTATGACTGTAAAGGTTGAGAAATGCAGGAAAGGGGTACATGTAATTGAAGGAGATGGACCCCTAAAAAGAAAAAAAAAGGATTAAAAAAAAAAAAGAAGTAAAATTGTGCACCCTGTGGAAAGAACACTAAATTTTCCTTTTCACAGGATGCATGCCTAACGGCCTGACCAGTAAAATTTTGAAGAAATTGCAATGGAATTAATATATTAGTTTGAATTGTAATTATACCCTTATGGAATTCTCGCTATCACAAATACTTCCAAATGCGCGGATGTAGTGTCTTGAACATATTTTTTTACCCATTCCCGGGACTTACATACTTTTGGTGTTCAGTGGCGTGAGGGCGGTACATACATATATTATGCATGCGCAATGTAGGAACGTACGTGACCGAAAGCTATTTTGAGTTTTAGAGTACATGTTTAAAAAGATTTTTTGTTTTTTCGTAAGTTCCACTCTTGAAATCTATGCGATTACTGTCAGTAAATAAAATAAACACAAACACAATCAACACTGGCATGCACAGTGCAGCGCACGTTAAATAGACCGGAAACGACTACATGCATATCACCAAACTATCCCAGAGTGCATTTTAAATGTGGCCTAAACGAACAAAGCTATTTTAAAATATTTTGGCAATAGCAAGAATTCCTCTATCATCTTATGAAAAGTAGCGCAATTACTGATTACATGTACATGTACATCCATGTGTGAAATGCTCTCTGAAATAACTTTGAATGTGTTTATTCTTGTATTTACATGTATACAGTGACATACATGTACATGTACATGTACATGCACCTTTTTATGCCTCCGCCACCGAAGGTGGTGCCGGAGGCATCATGTTTTCGGGTTGTCCGTCCGTACGTCCGTCCGTCCGTACGTCCGTCCGTCCGTCCGTACGTCCCGTTTGACCGTTATCACAATATCTCAAGAACCATTTAAGATTTAAACTTAAGACTCGGGAATAGTATTTATCACCATAGGAAGACGATCTGATTAGATTTTGGAGTACGTAGGTCAAAGGTCACAGGTCACAGAGGTCAATTTATGAAATTCCTTGTATTGAGTTTGTTAGCGCGATATCTCAAGAACCATTCGAGATTTAAACTTCAAACTTAAGGATAGTATGTATCACCATAGGAAGACGATCTGATTAGATTTTGGAGCACGTATGTCAAAGGTCAAGGGTCACAGAGGTCAACTTATGAAATTCCATACATTGAGATTGTTATCATGATATCTCAAGAACCACTGGAGATTTAAACTTCAAACTTAGTGATAGTGTGTATCACTATAGGAAAACAATCTGATTACATTTTGGGTCACGAGGTCAAAGGTCAAATGTCACAGGGCTCATTATGTATGCAAAAACAGCTTGTGATCGCGTTATCTGAACAACCGATTGATGGATTCCTGCCAAACTTTGGTCATGTATGTATCTTGCAGAGCTGATGAACTGATTAGATTTTGGGGTCACGAGGTCAAAGGTCACAGGGCTCATTATGTATGCAAAAACAGCTTGTGATCGCGTTATCTGAAGAACCGATTGATGGATTCCTGCCAAACTTTGGTCATGTATGTATCTTGCAAAGCCAATGAACTGATTAGATTTTGGGGTCACGAGGTCAAAGGTCACAGCGCACATTGTGTATGCAAAAACAGCTCGTGATCGCCTTATCTCAAGAACCGATTGATGGATTTCTGCCAAACTTAGGTCATGTATGTTACTTGCAGAGCTGATGAACTGATTAGATTTTGGGGTCATGAGGTAAAGGTCAAGGTCATGCGGCT